AAAACTTTTATAAAGTAATAAAACTTTTTTTTTCACAGGAGCTCTAAAACCAACGATGTCTCTGCCTCTCTCTCTCAGATCGAAGTGAGGTGACGTGAGGGGCAGAGACAAAGTGTCAGCCAGTGACCTGAGGTCATTGGTTGACACATACTAATAGTGATCACAGTGACTGGCTGTCACTGTGATCACCTCCTGCAGATTGGTTATTTGACCACAGGGGGGAGTGCCTGGGTGGTACAAGCACTCCCCCTACCGATCTGCAGGGGGATCATGGTGGCTGTTACATGTATAGGCTGATACATGTATATCATGTATAGGCTGATACATGTAACATTGATCGCAGCGCTGAGAGATCGCAGTGACAGCCTGTCACTGCGATCTCACACAGTGCAGATCGCGGTCACTGACCCCAGGGGGACTGCCTGGGGGGCCAGGTATGACCCCCGACCGCGATCTGCACAGGGGTAACCGCTGGCCACGTGTGTCAGCCGATTTGAAATCGGCTGACACACGCTTAAAAACTGATCGCAGTGACAGCCTGTCACTGCGATCAGATGCTGCAGATCGCGGTCACCGGCCACAGGGGGGGTTGCCTGGGGGGCCAGGCAATCCTCCGACCGCGATCTGCAGCGGGAGATTAGAGCCGGCCACGTGGGCGGCCATTAAAGCGAGGGCGTACTATTACGCCTGCCGGCGTTTAGAGCCGGCTCCTGCAGGGCGTAATAGTACGCCCTGCGGATTTAAGGGGTTAATGTATTCCCCACTTTGCCCTTCTTAATATGGTTCTTATTTACAATTTCCGCCCTTCCCAAGATGGCCGCGCTATAATTATAGCCCTTACAGTCCCTCCCATTATTCTGTGTACACGGCCGCCATTCGCGGCTATTGAATAACTACATTTTCCATGTGGCCTTTTTGTACTTGAGCTCTGCACCTAAGAGCACTTAAAATGGCTTTCACAATGACAATCTGCGGCTTTTTACCCTAAATTCCAAGTGCCATGGCAGGCAATAAAGGCAAAAAATCTTAGACCAAACTGCAGTCTTACCTGCTCCACCAGTCCAGAGGCACAGAAGACTGCCTGATAAATATACCAATCTACAATTGTACCAAGATTTCTGAGCCTACACAATGAGCAGGCAGAGGGAATTCCAGCCCATATGCAGGCCCTATGGTGGCACACCATCTCTTACCGCTGGGGATTCCCGGTCAAACTCCTCATAACCAGGAAAGGCACCACCAAGGTGATCCCCACACCTGCAGAGGGCTGCAAGCTGCTTTGCTACTGGGATTTACCCTTGAC